CAGCATGCGGAGCGGCGAGGAGCTGGACGGCTTCGAGGGCGAGGCCTCGAGCACCTCCATGATCTCGGGCGCCAGCAGCCCGTACCAGCCCACCACCGAGCCGGTGAGCCAGCGGCGTGGGCTGGCCGGCCTGCGCTGCGACCCCGACTACCTGCGCGGCGCGCTCGGCCGCATCAAGGTCGCCCAAGTGGTAGGTGCCGGGCGGGGCTCCAGGTGCCCGGCGGGCGGCCTAGCCGCACGCCCTCCCTCCCCGCTCCCGCTGCGGGGGTGCAGGCCCGGCTGGCCTCCGCCGCCTACCCCTTCCCGGGGCCAGACCCCTGCTCTTCGCACTCCCTCTGCCTCTTGGGGTCCCCGGGCCGTCCTCCCGCCTTCCGTGGGTACCCGCCCTCGGCCGGAGCCTGCCTTTTCCAGCCCGGCAGCCTCAGTTGTGCGCCTCCTACCTGAACACCTGCCTCGGGGCCTACCTGTTCACTCCCGCCTGCGCTCACCGGAGACCGTTTCATTACTGCGCTTGGAGGTGCGCAGAGCCCAGCCCTGGAGGTCATGCCCCCTGGGTACTACTGGTTTTAGAAACTTGTGACGGGTTTTCGGGGCCCGCACAACCTCCTGGGGTCCATGTTTGTCCCTGCCCCCGGAAATTGGGGACTGTGGCTCGATTTCCTCTCTGGCGTCTGGTAGGGTGCTGGGCATATGGTAGGCGTTCAGTAAATATTTGTTGAATGGAGGCATGTAGTCCAGATGCAGTGGGGGAGCCCACATCTGCCCACAAAGTCCAGTTTACACTGCAGAGGTTTGATCCTCCTAATTAGCCCAGAAGACGGAATTGGCATCCCGGACTCCTCTGCCCCAGCACAGTGGCTGGCACTGCCCAATTGGTACCCAGAGTTAAATCACTCTGGGAGGGCAGCCAGTTTTGGAGGTAACAGAAACAGAGAACTTCTGTCGGATTTGTCCATAGTAGAGCTTGTTTCTCAGGGTCCTTATTTTTAGCTTCCAGGGTGTTTAGGTCAGGGGTCTGTCAGTTCTGTTCCTGTTTTGTGGTTTTGTAACAGGCCTCTGGGCATTTGCTTAGTTCTGTTGTGGACAGGGCATGCTCCAGTTCAGAAAAACCTGTGCGTCCCCCATATTCCTTATCACAAGTAGGCCTTCCTCAAAACTTTATAGACTTCTAAGCCAGAGAAGCCATTTGCACCAAGCTATGTGCATTTTGTTTCTTGGTCTTCTGGTAAGCATTGGTCCTCTAGTGTTTACTTGAATGCAGAAACGTTCCCTGGGAATAATATAATGTGTGGACACTCTTTAAGTAAAGATTCTGGTGTTTGTAAATTGCAGAATCATAGACTCTTTTCTCCCTCCTGGGTGAAAGGCTTGCTCTGCTGATTGCTGGAGTGTATTTTTGGAGAGCTTTAAGGAAAGACAATGGAACAGGTTTTCTGTCTTTAGAATTTTAAACTGTCCTTATCTAGTAAACTGGAATGTTCTCAAAGATGTATTGGTTCTGCAGTTAGGCACTGCTGTTAGCAAAGAAAATCTAGGAGGTGGGGTGAGGTGTGTAATTGTCTTTTAAAAGAGGCAGCTAACCAGTGTTTTAGCACAGTACAGATAATCACAGATGAATAGGAGCAGAGTGGGAACGTGACTCTGGTAGAATACCAGGCCTTATCAAGTTCCTTGCTTTGTTTACTATGTGGACTTTTGAAAGTAAATAGAACTTGCCACTGGCAAACTAACTTGCCTCTCAAAGGATCTGTAAAAGAAATGAAATCCAGTAGTTTGTACAAAGTGTTAATTATCACCTCATTGCTGGGACTTTGTCACCTAAGGCCAGGGATAGAAACCAATAGTATTTATCGTTACCTTTTGGTAAAGTAATATTTTGTTGTAGAGCTTTACTTTTAATCTGGAAGAATTTTGGGGCCCACCCCTAACTCTACCAATTTGTTTAATCTGTAGAATTCAGACAGTGAGAGGTTATGTGTTGGCGATGAAGGAAAGGTACTCACTTGAAATGTATGGCAACTTGAAATGGTTTTCCATGTTCATTACTGCTCAGCCTTGACAAAAATCAGGATTTTTAGGGGGGACCCCCCAAACTTTAAAAAAATTGAACTCTAAACTGGAAAACAAGAAATCGTTATGAAGATAGTTTTAAGATGTTACAAAGCTCAGAGTCATCAAGATATATGAATAAGTTCTAATTCTGTGATTTTTGAGGAAAATTTGACTTTAAAAAACTTTAGTTTTTATAGACTTTTTTTGTGGTCTGTGGCCTGTTGCAACCTGTAGATCTTTTGCTACTCCAGGTATGGTCCATAGACCAGCAGCATTGCCATCACCTGAGAGCTTACTAGAAATGCAGAATCACCACATGTACATTAAAGTTTGAGATTTATATATTGTTTTAGTGGTAAAAACTTACACAGGTGGTAGTAATCAGCTGTCAGAACCATTAATAGTCAATCTTAAGCTGAGATTTTTCTGTAAAATAAGTCTATACTTTCCTCAAAGGATTAAGAGAATGAGGTAATATGTAAAAATTATTACCTAGCTTAGTAAGCATTAGTGTGTAATAAATGTTAGCTATCATTGTTGCTAATACATATTTCTTGTCTTTAAAGAAACTTGGTGAAAACATCACCCCCAAAACCATAATTATGTATTTGAATTAAAGATAGTTTACTTCCTGATGATTTACGTTAACTTATTATAATTTAATTTGTTTATTTGCCACTGGCAGGTAAGGCAATCTGAATGAACCCTTGACTCTGGTGTTACGAAACTGATATTTTAAATGGAATGTTATTTGATAGTAAAACTAGTCTGAAATTTTATGAAAATTAATCAGTGCAATTTTATAGATTATCTTTTAAAACTGTCTTAGTTCAGTTTTATAGATTATCTTTTAAAACTGTCTTAGTTGGAGAGAATGTCTACTGTGGTTACGTCAAACAATAAATATGCACTTTTTGTGAAAAAAGTTGGTTTAGACAACATGTAAGTTACCTTCTTTCTCCTTAGGAGTGTGAAATCTGTAGGAGCTTATTGACTTTTAGCTCCCAGGCACCATTTAATTAAATAGTTAATGTAGACCTTTTACTTTTTGCTTTCGCTTATTATTTTGTTATTTTTATTATTATTATTATTTTTTTGTCAACTTGGTTGGAAGCAGAATTTTAACTCTTGGGATGGGAGTGGGGTAGATATGCCATGATGTGAGAACAGGTCCTGGATTGGACAAGACTTTTTGAATAGTAACAGTAGGCATCATTTAGTGGATGCTTACTCTGCTATTGTCATCCCCATTTTATGGATGAGGAAATTGAGGGGCAGAAGTTTGAGTAGCTCAAGGTCACATGGCTAGTGTGTGTTGGAGATGAGATTTGAACCCAGACAGTCTGGTTTCAGAGTTGCCATTGAGTTTTTCCAGTGTTGAAATGATAGACTTGTAAGGGTTTGGATTTCTCAGTGGGCAGTCTGCTGTTCTTAGGTGTGCAGCTCCTGTGTCGTGCCAGGTTCCTCATCAGACAGGCCTGTCCACTTTCATGAATGAGGGGGATGGGCATTCTCAAAGGCATTTCAGTTCCAAAGAGACTCCTCACTTGATTCAGGTACCATTCTTGAGCTCTTCCCAGTTGACCTTCTGACAGTGCATTGGTTTAGGGCTTTTTCTAACAAAAGATGGGTGATAGGAGATGTTTAAATTAAAATATTAGCTCTGCTGATCTTGAAATCTCTTAACCGCATCACATCTGGCTTCCTCAGTGGTAGAATGTGAGTGGTAATGACTGAGCATTTTAGGAATTGTAAGAATTAAGGGGTTAATGTTTGATAGGTGTTTTCTTAGATAAAACTCTAAAGACAAATCTGGGTATTTGCATTTCAGGGTTGGGTAAAGGTATATCTTTTATTTGGTGGTAACCTTGTCAGTTTTTTATATCAAGCCAGTCAATGCAATCCCTGACCCATTGCTGCTCTCTGGAGGATGTACTGGGGTGGGGCAGTAAAACACTAGATTTTTACTAAAATCCAGTGGGAAAATAAATTATGGGAACCATATACAGCATAAAAATAGCCACTACAGACCTGCAGCCTTGATAAACTACTGGTTATAGGACTCAGCACTGAGCTTATCAGTCCCAAATCCCCTCAACTATGTTGGAGGGGCTGGTTCAACCGAGGTTCACTGGGGTTGGACTTGGTTTCCTGATTCTTAAGAGCTGGTCAAATGACCAGGCACAGCTTGGTCCCTTGTCAAACTATGAAGGTTTCTGCATTTTGTTTAGTACTGAAGATTTCTTTGTACTCCTGGCTCCAGCCTATCACTGAAGATAATGCATTTACACGCATGTGATGGTGGGTGAAGTAGTGGGTTTCACTAGGGTGTAATGAGGCTCCTTGTAAAACAGTCCCACTTTCCCTTAAGCAGATAACCTGTAGGAGTTGTTTTCCTGATCAAGGACTTGGAATCAAATAAATTCTAGCAGAAAAGCAAAGTTACAACTACTCATAAGTTTTTATGATAATTAAAAATAGTGAAATTATCATCTAAGACCCCAGAAAAGAGTGTTAAGTATAGAGTACACATCTATTTTATAAAACCAAAGGCAGTTCAAGAAAAGAATACTACAGACCAACATTCCTCATGAATACAGACCCAAAAATCCTCAACAAAATACTAGGAAATCAAATCCAGCCATATGTACAAAGAATAATGTACCACAACCAATTATGATTTATCTGAGGAACGAAAGGCTGGCACAGTTTTTGAAAATCAGTAGATGGTACTCCACCATTGTAGCAGCTTAAGAAGAAAAAACACATGATTATATCAATTGATGCAGAAAAAATATTTGGCAAAGTTCAGCACTCATTTATTATAAATACTGGCAGCAAACTTGGAAGAGAAAGGAGCTTCCTTAACCTGAAAAGGGGTATCCACAAACAGTCTACAGCTAACATCATATTTCGTGGGGAAAGAATGAATGCTTTCTCTTAAGATCGGGAACAGGCAATAATGTCTATTCTCAGCACTCATATTCAACATCATACTGGAAGTCCTAGCCAGTGCAAAAAATAAATACAAGGCATACAGATTGGAAAGAAAGAAATAAAGCTGTCCCTAATTGCAAATGGCATGATTGTCTATGTAGATAATCCCATGGGAATCCATAAACAAAATTTCTAGATCTA